TCGGGCGGGCCCCGGGCTCGCGGCGTAGGGAGTCGGGGGCCGCCCGCCGGGGAGCCGGGACCATGGCGCTGCGCGCCCGGGCGCTGTACGACTTTAGGTCGGAGAACCCGGGCGAGATCTCGCTGCGGGAGCACGAGGTGCTGAGCCTGTGCAGCGAACAGGACATCGAGGGCTGGCTCGAGGGGGTCAACAGCCGTGGCGACCGTGGCCTCTTCCCGGCCTCGTACGTGCAGGTGATTCGCGCCCCCGAGTCCGGCCCGGCGGGCGACTGCGGCCCGGGAGCCCCGGCTCGCTACGCCAACGTCCCGCCTGGCGGCTTCGAGCCCCTGCCCGCCGCGCCGCCCGCCTCCTTCAAGCCGCCGCCCGATGCCTTCCAGCCCTTGCTGCAACCGCAGCAGGCGCCTCCGCCGAGCACCTTCCAGCCGCCGGCCGCGGGCTTCCCGTACGGCGGGGGCGCCCTGCAGCCGTCGCCTCAGCAGCTCTACAGCGGCGGCTACCAGGCCAGCCAGGGCAGCGACGATGACTGGGACGACGAGTGGGACGACAGCTCCACGGTGGCCGATGAGCCGGGCGCGCTGGGCAGCGGCGCGTACCCGGACCTCGACGGCTCGTCGTCCGCGGGCGGCGCGGCCGGCCGCTACCGTCTGTCCACGCGCTCCGACCTGTCGCTGGGCTCCCGTGGCGGCTCGGCGCCCGCGCAGCACCACCCGTCGGGGGCCAAGAGCTCGGCCACCGTAAGCCGCAACCTCAACCGCTTCTCCACCTTCGTCAAGTCGGGCGGCGAGGCCTTCGTGCTGGGTGAAGCGTCTGGCTTCGTGAAGGATGGGGACAAGTTGTGCGTGGTGCTGGGGCCCTACGGCCCCGAATGGCAGGAGAACCCTTACCCCTTCCAGTGCACCATCGACGATCCCACCAAACAGACCAAGTTCAAGGGCATGAAGAGCTACATCTCCTACAAGCTGGTCCCCACGCACACGCAGGTGCCGGTACACCGGCGCTACAAGCACTTCGACTGGCTGTACGCGCGCCTGGCCGAGAAGTTCCCCGTCATCTCGGTGCCCCACCTGCCCGAGAAACAGGCCACTGGCCGCTTCGAGGAGGACTTCATCTCCAAACGCAGGAAGGGCCTGATCTGGTGGATGAACCACATGGCCAGCCACCCGGTGCTGGCGCAGTGCGACGTCTTCCAGCACTTTCTGACCTGCCCCAGCAGCACGGACGAGAAGGCCTGGAAACAGGGCAAGCGGAAGGCCGAGAAAGATGAGATGGTGGGCGCCAACTTCTTCCTGACCCTGAGCACGCCCCCCGCCGCCGCCCTCGACCTGCAGGAGGTGGAGAGCAAGATCGACGGCTTCAAGTGCTTCACCAAGAAGATGGACGACAGCGCGCTGCAGCTCAACCACACGGCCAACGAGTTCGCGCGCAAGCAGGTGACGGGCTTCAAGAAGGAGTATCAGAAGGTGGGCCAGTCCTTCCGTGGCCTCAGCCAGGCCTTTGAGCTGGACCAGCAGGCCTTCTCGGCCGGCCTGAACCAGGCCATCGCCTTCACCGGAGATGCCTACGACGCCATCGGCGAGCTCTTTGCCGAGCAGCCCAGGCAGGACCTGGACCCCGTCATGGACCTGTTAGCGCTGTATCAGGGGCACCTGGCCAACTTCCCCGACATCATTCACGTTCAGAAAGGTAAAGCCTGGCCATTAGAGCAGATGGTCTGGAATATGTTGTTGAGGCTGAAAGGGATGATTTGGACAGAAATACCATAATCTGTTTCAGACTAGTGCCGGAGAGGTTGGGAATCAAGCAGGGATTCCCTGTCCAATCAAGTGGACAGCTGGCCTGTTTTTCTGAGTATATGATGGATTGCGGGCCGGTAGCTGCCTCCGTAAAGTATTTCCAGACAGGGAGTGGGTACTCCTCAGAGAAAGTTTTGAGAGTACTTCTTATGACAGTGCTATCATTTTAGAGTTTGAATAGTTGGGTGATGAGCTTCTGGGATCTGTAATCTTGTGCCTAGGGTAGAATTAGAAGAGGACCCAAACCCTGTTAGGCATCCATTTGAACACTGTGGGGTCACTTAGTGATGGGTTTAAGGAAGCACGGAAATAATGGGGAAGGACGGATATCTGCAAGTAAAGGTAAGTCCGCTTCTACCTTCCACACCTCTCAATCCCTGGTTTGGTTGAGGAATTAGAATCAATTCTCTGAGGTTCTAGCCAGGGCAGTTTAGGAATGTCCTGCATAGGCTTCTTGCTTGCAACCTTTGTAGAATGAGGTAAAAGGCTCACTCTAATTTCAAGAAGTTTTAAGAAAAATAATCTCTTTAATCTCAGTCATTTTGAGTTTGGAGTCTATTCACCCACTGAATTTAAAGAGTATTATTTAGGAAAATGATGTAGGGGAACTACAAAGAATGCACAAAATCTGAGTATTATGTCTGAGGGCAGTGCTTCTGGTATTCCAGTAGTTAGCTGCCCAGCTGTCAGCTTGTTTCATTATTAGTTGTTAGTGTCCCTAACTTTTGTTAAAGCACTAACATTTGCAGATTTTTTTTTTTTTCTTAGAAAATAAATTAGAGCAGTAAAGCCTGGAGTGAGAGGACGGGGAGGCGATGGACTTTAGGGAGGTGGTCTTGCCTGTGAATGTCTCCTGTTCAGTGTGGTGGATGTGGTGGGGAGAGGGAGGGAGTTACCTAATCTAACTTCTGTGATGGTGGAAACGTCTTTTGAGTCATGAGGTTTGGCCTTCAATAAGGAGGTGCTCACTGCCTTTCTAGAGGGGCCGGTCCAATTATGAACAACCCTGAACTTTGACATAGTCTTCCTTGCACTGAACTAAAATTTGCCTCTCTCATTTGTCGTTCTGTTCCCTGGAACCACACAAAGTAAGTCTATTCCTCATCCACACGTTAGCCCTTTACACTTTGGGAGACAGCAGTCTTGCTTCCTTCCCTTCCCTCTGCTGCTTTCCTCCCCCTTTCAAGTGTGTGACTAGTCTTCTTACTCCCCAAAGGGGGGGTCCTTCCAAAGCCTTGAATGTGTTGTTGGCCCTGCTAAAATGCAGTATCCCGAAGCATCTGCATTACTAATTTTGGTAGAAAATAGTAACTTTCTTGGCAATTTACATTTTGTAAATGCAGCCTGAGATTCAATAGCTGTTTGAGCAACCATACTGAACCTGCATCTACATTCCTCATGCCTTTTTGTGTGTAAATTGCCGTGACTCCTTGACTTTTTGGCTGGTGCCAGTGGGACTGACTCTTTGAGACTTTAATGCAAGACCTTAAATTTAAATACCATGTGTTATATCAACCTGGAACCATGCTGCCTTTTTATGTATTTTGTGAGTTTATGCAAATGGTTGGTAAAAGTTGGAAGGGTGGAGAAAAGGACAGACCTCTGCAGGCAGAGAGAGACAGGTGACTGGCTACTACAGGGTGGCCTCAGTTCATTCACTGACTTTACCGTCACTCAGACCACACACAGCTTTGTCAAGTGTCCTGCTATTGGAACTATTTATTAGAAAAGGTATGGTGTTTGTTCTAAGGTTGATTTTGAGTTTACAGCAGTAGTTTTTGTAGTTTATTAAACTGTGTAGTTTGCTTTTTTTTTTTTTAAATCCTAGAACTAAAATTGTATTCAGTTTCTTGGGATTTGAAAAACTTCATTAAAACCAGTACCATTTTATGTTGTTTAAACAGATTCAAGGGCACTAAACATAATCTTTAGGAAGTTCAGAAAGAAAATCAGTTAATATTAAGTATAGTTTCTTTCTGCTGTAGCCTTGGTATATAATGTACAGGGAGTGAGTGTCCCTAGATGACGTCTTTAGAATGTACTTGCCATTTAAAGCTATAGTGTGCAACGCATAAGGATAAAAGGATTTGCTTGCAACCAGTTTTTATCAAGGATGCTAGTGTTGGCGATTTTTAGGAATACAGATGAGACAAATTTCATAAGTTGTGCTAAAGCTTTTTGAACATGTTCTAAATATTCAGAACTTGTGGTTGTGAAGAGCAGCTCCCCCCGCCCCCCCAACTTAACTACACAGTTGCTATTGGAATGAATCTTTTCTAGTCTGAGCACTTGGGGATTTTGTTGACAGGTGGTTTTTTTCCTCTAAGGTCTCAAAGTGTAATCACATGAAAGATTTTACTGTGACTTCTGAGAGGAGAATAAAAAGAAGAAAAAAACGTTAAAAAATCTTTAAGCAGCTTAAGCTATCTTTTAAGTATTTGGTTCAAAGTTTACATTTCAGTTTAGGGAGAAATTTAAAAATTCAAAATAATTATTTCAACTCTTAAGTTGTCATTGTTTACAGGAAGAGAAAAAACAGTTTTAGTACTTCTACGTTTGATGTGTTCTAATCAGATGTTAGGTCCACATTCAGATGAGACAGAAATGATTAGAATGTGCTTTTCAATGACTAACACAGTTAAGAAGGGGAGTTAATTAAGTTTTTTCCCCCTTAATTCCTAGGGGAAAGGACAGGAACATTAGTCTCCTCTGGAGCTTTTTTCTTATCCAGGAGACTCCTGTGGTCAGCTTTTCCAGTGTTCTAAACCTGTGCTTTTCGGTGCTGGGTCTGTGAGCCACATCTGACTACTTAAACATAAGTTAATTAAAGTAAAATAATGTAATTCAGTTCCTTATTCACACTAGCTGTATTTCATGTGCTTTGTAGCTAGTGGCTACCAGTTGGACAACAGATAGAGACCATTTCATCACTGCTGAGGGTTCTGTGGGATGGTGCTGTGCTGCCAGAGTCTGTCAGTCCTTTCAGGTTTCTCCAGCAGTTGATAATCTTTGCACATACTCTCCAGATAGTCTTCTTGTCACTTGGTCATCTCATGGCATCCCCTCCTTTCCGCATGGGCTTAAGTAATAAAAACCGGGAGGGGAAGCAGGCCCTGCCAGACCCCTCTCTACAGAACATCCCAGGCACTCACCCAGTGAGTAATATTGCTGCGGTGTGAGGATGTTCATCTGCTTTGCATCCTGCCTTCATCGTTCATTCAGAAAATACAACTGGTTTCAGAATGGACATCTGAGACGGGTGAGGAACCAGCTCCAGAACGAGGGTGGAAAACTCAAATGCCCTTAAATGTGGTCGACTGGCATTTTTCTGACTATACTTAGTACTAAAACCATCGCTTAAACTTAATAATGGTTTTAGTGTAAGTACTTTCTGCAGAAGCAAAGAAAGCCATATGGTTTCTTTAGCGAAAAGAGAATTCTGGAATTCTAATTTTTTTCATCAACTCATGGAGTCTTAGATAAACAGACCTATTTTGGTTAATGGAGTTGAGTGTAGGAAGAAGGCAGTTTGCTGTAGTCTGAAGTATAGTAGATGGGAATTCAGAAGCTGTTTGAATTTTATTCATACTTTGCTCTGTCTTAACAGGAGTCCCTTAAATTCTTTGTTCACAGGCGGCTCGTTGATTCCTGACGAGTCACATGTCTGTCACTGCCGAGCTTTGTAACCCTGTGGTCTGATTTTCTTTTTTTGAAATGGTAGCGTTTTATCTCCTCCCATTTATCATCCTTGCCTGGGGTATGCCTTTAGAATGCTGATGGTGGCCAGTTTGGGGTAGTATATAGAATCGATTTCACTATCAGTTTCTTAGCTTATTCGGTTCTGTTTCCAAAGATATGATTAATCTCTAATATTTAATAAAGCTTAATCTGGATGGCAGTGAGTTGTTGTGGTTTAAAAGCATTAGGCTTATTTCCCGGGGGGTATCGTGAAAGGGAAAGACTGTAAATGTGGGGTGATGAGAAATGTTGGTTTCATCTTTATTTAGGAATGTGGACTGGATAGCAGGAGGGAGTCACTTAAAAGGAAATTTCTTTATTCCTGAGAAAAGGTACAAGGTACAGGAAAAGTGATTTGTTGATAAAATGTAGCGTGAGTCTGTGAAGCAGGGTGGCAGAACTAGGTAAACAAACAGACCGGCAGTCCTGTTTTCTGTACTCCTAAATTAAATATGCAGGGTGTCCACATTGCCTTCTGTAAACGTTCCAGATGGAGGCTTCTTTTCAACAAAACACAGCCCTGGGACCTCAGGAATGGTACACCAGTCATGGGCTTGTCAGTTCTCCGGGGTACAGTTTCACCATTGTGCTTCCTTTTACCACATGCAGGGTCCGTCTTATGTCCCTCAGACATTAATTAAAGATAGCTAGCGTCCTGGCAAGGGCCTCTAAGGTAAGACTGGGCCACAGTTAGCCCTTCCCTGTCTGCTCCCCATTCTCCTGTGACTAAAAATAGACCTGAGAGGATGGTGCCAGGAATAGAGAGAAAAGGTCTAATAAGTGGGCTGTTTACAAACTCATCCTTATTTTGAAACTTCTGGGCTAGAAATTGAGGTCGCTCATTTTTTGTTCTGTTTTGTTTTAGCTCCATTTTAATTGAATCCGTTTCTCCTTTCCCCTACTTCCACCTCCAGCTGTTTTTTAAGGAGACTTCAGTTCTAGCTGTAACCTTTGTCCCTATCTGTATTTTCTTAATGAAAAGGAGGTTTACCTTTGGGGCTTTTGAAAGAGATGACTGAGTTCTTTTGGTAAAACGTCAATGTGACCAGCCACAGAAGGTCTTGATCACGAAGCTAGGTGGGGATACTGCTCATATCACACTGTCATTGGTTTCTCAGACTTCTTTTTTGAGCTAGGAGTCCTTCTGGAAAT